TAGAACTTTCTCTAGTCCTGTGATTGCCATTTGGATGCCTTTCATTGCAGTGAGTTGAAAAAGAGGGGGGGAAAAGCCCAGCTATGAGTCAGAGATGTAACTGTTTTACACCCAGTTAGATGCTAAAATTATCTTCCATCTTTATAAATGCATACCCCATGCATTTCAATACAGGTAGTCTCTGGGTTAAGAACACCGGGTTTACAGACCCATAATTAAGATCGGAGCCAATTGTAGCAAAATTTGAGTTAAATATACAGTGGTTCAAATTAATTACACAATACTACTTATACAGTATTATATAATAATACTGTTCTGGTTTACATATAAATTCGATTTAAGGACAGACCTTGGGAACTGGGGACTACCTGCAGTGGTAATACCATTTTAACAACATTAAATATGCCATGCAGCTTGATCCTGGGTGTGCCTACTCAGAAACCTTACACAGAAAGATACGTTTTTACATCTCTATTTTAACCTTGCAAAGCAAATTAAAATGTTTATAAAATAAAGAGGCTCCACTGAACTTTAATGTGGCATTCTCCAAAGTAAAAGTACATAGGACTTTACATTAGCTGGGTGAAATCAGAATGTTCAGTGTTTTTAGAAGGCAGCTCATTTTTAACTGGAACTGTGTTTTGAACTGAGCAAGGACAACACGCTCAGTGGCCGAGTCAGGTCATTTCTATGCTGTGATTTATGGTATCATCTAGGGTCATCCAACCATTGTTGTGCCAAAATAACAGTAATGCAGACAGGTTTTATATTATTTGAACAATGGCTGATTAATGATATGAAGATACTGTACATGAAGTTCACTCTTGTGGACATGTTCACAGAATACATAAGCTGCTGAGATCTATGTTAATTAAAGTGCCTTCTACCTCATGTGAATAGCAACAGATGAGCTATTAAAGGGAGGCCTCTACCTGAAACTCTTGCTGTTCATAGAAGAGAAGTTTATATTATTTATTTTATTAATATTTCAAATTTAGTCATCGCCCATCTCAAGAGTGACTCTGGGCGGTTTACAGTAAAACAAGAATAAATATTAATTAAAATACGATAAAAATGTTCATACATAAATAATGTTTTCCAAGATACTGATGGTAAATAAAGGTTATTAGCCTATGGGAGCATCTTCTAGATGTCAGCCACCCCTGGGGTTGGTTGCCCCTCTCGCCCCACGCAAGTTGGCAGAGTCAGGTCTTCACACCTTTCCAGAAGGTCAGGAGAGTAGGTTGCTGAAGAGATTCTACTTTCTTACCTTGCATGGAAGTGCAGCTGAGGGTGGATAGTAACAGTGAAATCCTGAGGGATGGGATAAGGTGAGAAAATCTTCAGGGGACCAAGTGGAAAGTTCTCCAATTTCTTATATCCCTTGTTCTACATTAAGATTTATAAAACATGCTTTAGGCAGGTTTTGCAGTATGATAATTCTGTATATATCCCTCAAACCTCTCTGAGCTAAAAATCTTACCACTTCCTTTAATGACATGTACTACTGTCTTCCTAATATCAAGTTGTCTTCCACAGAATTTAAAGAAACTATAGTCAAGTAGTAGTTGGTTGAAGTGTGAACTATTACATCAGTTATATTGGCACGAGCATCCTGTATCTGCTGCTTGCATATTTCAGTTAATATATTTTTCCTTTCCGCTAACAAAAAATGTTCCATCATAAGCCAGGAATATGAGCCCTGCTGCTTTATTGCCGTATGGAAGAGAAAAATCTGGATTGGAAAATGAGCCTAAACAAATTGCATATCATTCTTGTTTTGGCACCGGTGCTCTCATACAGTTCATTACAGCACTGCAGCATGTTAATTAATGATATGTAAATATATTGCAATGATTGCATTTGCATATTGATTGAGGTCTCAGTACCTTAGGTTGTGATGTGTTTTAATTAAGAGCTAATTAGAAATGATGGGAATTTCACTTGGCTCAGTCTAATTATTTTCCATTTTAATGAATATGTAGAGAGTGTTATGATTAGGAATCAGAACAATCCATGGCATGTTAGTGTATACGACTGCACAGGTTCTTGGGGTTTATGGTGCTCACAATTGTCCATTAAAAACATCCATAAAAATTAGGGCTGCCAACCAATTGAAAGATTTCTTGAACTATTACTAATTTAATTGATTAATTAGATGATTGGGATAAATATTAAAGTAATTGGTTCAAGTAATATTTTGAGGTTATTTAATGAAGATAGCAGTTTCTCTCCACTAATTAACAGAGACAAATCTACTCTTTTGTTTGGAAAAAATATTACCTAGCTCTCTTGCATAGTAACTTGAGTTAACATGCAATAAAAAACCCACATTGTTGGCTGTAATGAACGATTTAATTTAATGCTTTAGGCCTTAATAAAAATTATTCATGAATTAGAGGTCCTGAGCTTTTTTTTTTTTTTAAAGGTTGTGTAGAAGTTTGATGATCTGAATAGTCATAGGAACACTTAGAATCCAAGTGTGTAGATTCTCTCAATGCTCTGATACAACAGATGGTATTGCAATAATGGATATAACATAGAAATAGCCAGTGGTGTTGCTACACTGGTGACAACATTTATTGGAAATAACCTCCAAAAATCTGTAACTGGGTTCTGTTTCTTTTAATATTAATTTGGTGCTTTCAGGTCATTCGACTCCTGGCAAATGCCTGAATGTATCCCTGAAATTTTCTTGGTACTATTTTTGGAAGTGGCTTGCCATTTCCTTCTTCCTTGGGCTGAGAGGGAGTGTCTGGCCCAAAGTCACCCAGCTGGCTTTGAGAAAAGCATGCTTTATATGGTCATAGCTGTTATAATAATAATATACTATTATTGCTGCTATATATGTTCCATATTTAGAGCTATCATTGACCAGTCCGGTCTTCAGCTACCCCTTTTCCCAGGTGGATATTGTCATTGCTCAGCCATTTCTATTTCTTGGGATCCAGCTGGCTAGGAAAGGATAAACAGGAGGTTGAGATTCTGATTACTGTTGCTAGCCTACTTTGTAATCTCCATGTTAATAGTTATGGGAGTCTGTACCTTGCTTGCTTTTGCAAAGCCATTACGCTCATACAGTTCCAACAGGCTTATGGCATGGATGATGGACCTGGACTTGGGCTGCTTTTGTAATATGTATACGTCTATGTGATTTGATGGTTTTGTTTTTGTTTCTTTGTAAACTGCCTTGAGCTGCTTGAAGTAGGGCAGTATAGAAATCTTCTTGGGTTCTTGGTGTTCTCTGAGCTTGGTTTTCTTCTTGCAGAAGTTTGATTACCAGATTAGGCAACATCATCAGTGCTCAACTTTACATGCCATTTTGACCTTTGAAGAAAAGTGATATGAAAATGAGATTTAGAAAAAATGGTTTGCCAGGCACTCCTTATGTCTTCTGTCATCCGTAGACTGACAAAAGCCCAGACAGCCTTGTAATTGCCCTACTTTGTGTCAGCTGTTTGCATCTTTTTTCACTGAAGGAGGTGGCATGAAACTGCTTTCTAGTTTCTGTTTTAAAAATTCAATCTCTGAATTTACCTAATCCTCTAATTTAAAGAGAAGAGAGTCTTTAGAAGTTATGTACCAATATTTACCTTAATGATTAGGAGTTTTTGCTCTCTTGAAGTGCTACTTCATACTGTTATTTACTGTGTAAATAATTCATTCCACATATCATATCTATATAGAATTCAGGTACCCAGTTTATAGTTGGTGATAGAATATAGGTAGTCCTCAGCTTACGACCTTTGTTCAGCGATTGTTCAAAGTTACAATGGTACTGAATGAATGGTGGTTATGACTGGTCCTCGGAGATCTGGCTGTCCCAGCACCCCTGTGGTCACATGATTGCAATCTGGGTGCTTAGCAACCTGTTTGCACTTACAGTCAGTTGCCAAGTGCCCTGTGATCATGTGATCACCATTTGCAACCTTCCATGCTGGCTTCCCCAGAAAGTCAAAAGAGAAGCTGGCAGGAAAGATTCCAAGTCATTGGGGTAAGTCTCCCCCACCCGCACAATCTTCCCCAGCCCCTCTACGCTCACACCGGCCACTCAGACATCCCCGCATACCATCCCCAGACTTCACGCTGGCCACTCACACCCCCCCATGTACCTGTGGCGCCTCTCGTGCACCCTCCCTGACCCGCACAGCACCTTTCGCGCATCTCGCACACCCTCCCCGACCCATGTGGCATCTCTTGCGTGCCCCTATGCACCTTCCCTGACCCACACCGCACCTCCATGCACCCTCCCTGACCTGTGTGGCGCCTCTTGTGCACCCTCCCTGACCTGCACCACACCTCTGTGAATCTTCTTCGACCCACATGGTGCCTCTCATGCAACCTCTCTGGGGTGCATGGCTCCTTGCGCAACCATGTAGACCCAGGTGGCGTTTCTCATGCAACCTTTGCACAGCCTCCCTGACCTGTACCACACCTCCGTGCACCCTCCCCAACCTGTGCGTCCCCTCTCACACAACCCCGCACACCCTCCCCAACCCCTGCGCACCCTCCCCAACCCACCTATTTGACCCTCCCCCAGAACCCCACCCACCTTCTCACTCCCCCACCTGGCAGCAGCTACTGTACCTGCCTGCCTGGGACTTGAAAGTTCCCACTGGCTTCCCCGCTGACTCTGGTTGTGGGAAGCCGGCAGGAAGTTGCCTCGCCTAATGACTGTGGGATTCAGTTAACAATGGCAACCGGGACTACGGGGATTACCATTGCTAAGCGATCCAGTAATGCTTTGTGACCACATCGCTTAACGATGGACATTCTGGTCCCAATTGCCATCGTAAGTTGAGGACTACCTGTATTAACCTTTACAGGAATTTGTTTTGTGTTGACACAACAACTGGCAGTACCTAGATGACCTTGGCTTATCTTAAAAGATAATCAGTGTCAGCCCTGATTAGTACTTGGATAGGAGACCATCAGGAAATCTGAGGGTTGTAGATTGGATTAGGAAGTTTAAAAAAAATGACAAAAGAAGAAAATGGCAAACCACTTCCATATTGTTGCTAAGAAAATACATTGATGTGCCCATGTAGTCATCAGGGCTTGAGCTCAGTTTGAGGGAATTTTATTACAGATGTGTGGAATGTATATGGCTATATGAGAAATGGCACTGACCTTAAAATATTCTGAAGAGACTACTGGTAATTATATGTAATTTTCGAAGATGGCATTTTACTGTAATGTTTTTAATAATGCTACTTTGTAGCTTCAGCTTTTCATTTGGTTCTGCATTCCAGTTACGTATGCAACAAAAGAAAATGTTCAGTCTTTGGTCTTCTGTTCGTGTGCCATGTATCTGCCTCTGAAATCATGTCTGCTAATATCTGTGCAAAGAGAAAATGAGGGAAATATCACATCATAATTAATTGTCTGCTCCTTATTTATATTTATCCAGTGTTAAGTATACGTGGTATTCAGGAAGAAGATCCCCCTGATGCTCAGCTAATGAGACTAGATAACATGTTGCTGGCTGAGGGTGTCTCCGGGCCTGAGAAGCGGGGAAGAGGAGGACCAGCGGCCATAGCAGCAACATCAGGTGGCTGTCCAAATGACAATAGCATTGAACACTCTGACTACAGGGCCAAGCTGTCACAGATCCGACAGATATACCACTCTGAGCTAGAGAAATATGAACAGGTGATCTTTCTGCATGGAAGAGTTTTTATCCTCTCAGTTTAAAACAATTAATTGTTTTTCCTTTGTGGTCACAGATCAGGGAGTATTTGGTTTTTACAAAAATTATAATAATCCAACTACTATGTGAAATAAAAATAAATTGTATAATTTAGTATTGTCTTTTTAAAAAAACTTCAGGACAGTGACCTTTCCTGATACTCAGCTGCATTAAATGCACTTGTATCAATAGATTCATATGATTTTTTTGCTTCAAAAGTGCCCCATTTTGCCAGATTTTGCATGGATAGTAGCTTTTCTTATTTAGAAGCTGACACTAGCTTCTATGTTTCATAGGGAGATTTTATTTAGGTTGCCTGTTAATATTTTCACTTTCATTATACTGTACTACTGTTACTTTTAACAGGCAATTTCATTACCATGCTTATAGAATCTCAGTATAAATAAAGCAATGATAGAAGTAAATGTTTGACTACTTGAAAGCGGTTGGATATATGCATATTACTATAAAGACATAACTCTAGGCAATTTTTTTTTTAGTCAGACCTGTGTTATACAGTAGTTATTACATATCAAGCCCAGAATGATATCAAATCCATGTTCTCCTCTATTGAATTCTTTAGTCTGGCTTTAAAATTATGGATTAAAAGGTAGACATACAGTCAGATCTGATTCAAGAGACCTTTTGCTTCAGTTAAATGTGCTTATTTTATACTTATTTCCAGGCCTGCAGTGAGTTCACCACTCACGTTATGAACCTACTTCGGGAACAGAGTAGAACAAGGCCAATCTCACCCAAAGAAATAGAGCGTATGGTGAATATAATTCATGGAAAATTCAGCACCATCCAGATGCAGCTGAAACAAAGTACGTGTGAGGCTGTGATGATTTTGCGATCGAGGTTTCTTGATGCAAGGTAATACATGATCAAGACTGTTTCCTGTGTCCAAGATACTGATCATACAAAACATTGTAAAAGTTTTACAGTATGCACATAGGGCAAGTTAATACCAAGCCACATTAGAAGTACAGAAAATAAACCATATTCCTAGTCACTGCTGTTTAAGCTTAGTGATACTGTAAGCTCGGGGTGCAGTTCAGCAGGTTTCATGATTAGGCACAGTGATTATGATTTCCTGAGATCATATGAACATAGGTGGCTGAATTAAATTTGCCATGTTTGCACAATTTGGGAAGCCAGGCTGTTAAGTTAGAATAGAGCTGTCAACTCTGAACTTTTCATATTTTCCATATTGGTTTTGGAGAACCCTTCCTGTCACTTGCTGCCTGCTTTTTCTAATTACGTGATCCTATTAATATTACTCTTTGGGAATCTGTTAAGGGTAGAACAGAGTACAGGTAGTCCTTGCTTAACGACCACAATTGGGACCGGAATTTAGGTTGCTAAGTAATGCGGTTGTTAAGCAAATGATCACATGATCGCTTTGCTTAGCAACCGCAGTCCTGTTTGCCATCATTATGTGAATGCCCTGCTCATTAGGTGAGGCAACTTCCTGCCAGCTTCCTACAATCAAGTCAGTGGGGAATCTGGCAGGAAGTTGCAAGCCCCAAGCACTGCTGGGTGGGGGAGGGAGTGAGGGTGTGTATGAGAGGGTTGGGTGTATGAGGGCCTCAGAGCCACTTGGATTTTCAGCCCCAGAGTTGAGAGGCTTCTGAAGCTTCTCCAGGGCTGAAAATCCTGCTTGGATTTTGGCACGGAGCTTTTTCAGCCAGCCCCCAGGGATGAGAGGGAACGCTGCGAAGAATGAAAAAGAAAGACTGCTTTCAGTGTTTTTTCCCTTCTTCCCAGCAAGAA